AATGAATGTGTCTGGAGTTGGGACGAGACAGACAGGCTGGCAGTTTTTTCATCATTATGCATCAGCATAATTGTTATGGATATATACAGTGTACAAAAACATATAAATAGAAAAACACGAAATGCAGCTAGTTTGCTGTCATTCCAGCTTCAGTGTGAAGTGATTGAGTTAGCTTTGTAGTTGGCTATCTCTTCTGAACAATGGCCTGGCAAGAGATCAAATGTTCTATGCCAGGCGAAATCACGCATCATTAGCTCATTGTTATGGATGTATCCCCCCCAAATAACTAGACAAATGCAAATGCAGCTACTTTACTGTTATTCGGGCTGCACTGTTTGACGTGACTGTGTTAGCCGAAGTAGGCTAGCTAGCAAGTAAGTGATAAGAACATTTAAAACTAATGACTAGATTTAGAACAAAAATAGTTAACGTCTGGATCGCGTCTCTGGCAACCGAACCGATCAAGCGAATGACCAGCAACCCTAGATTTTAGTTGGGACTATATCTTGTGGAAGGATAAAATAGTATGAATACATTCATCAAAATAACCAGTTGTATAAAAGTGATAATGCCCTCGAAGCTGGTGTTTGGAGGATATATTGGCACGGTTTGCCGGCCCGAGACGAATGTACTGTATCCTCCAAACACCGGCTTCTCTGGCATTATCACTTAAGTGTTTACAATTGTACCTCATTAGCATAGCAGGTATTTACATGTTAATGATTATAATGTTACCTCATAAGTATAGCAGGTATCTATGTTAGTGTCATAATGGTACCTCATCAGCCTAGCATCATGTCATTCCTCTTCCTTTGCTATTAGCAAGCGTGCGGAATGTCATTCACCAATTAACTTTAGGCACACAACTATGAGCATGGCACACTAAGGCAATTCCACCATGCTTGCTGATTAACCTATGGGCTCACTCATGCAATAATCATTTTATTTCTTTCAACCAATAGGCATGAATCTAGGGGAGTATTTATGTCAACTCAAACCTTGTGTCTCCCACTTGCTGTTGCAGCAAGAGTTTTCCAATGAACTTCCACCTCACCACCACCAACTAAAAGGCCCGTTCTCCCAGTGGAAAATATTTTGCAATATGTGGGTAAAAGCTACTTCCTCTAGGTTGCCAACTCACCCTCATCCATTCTACGGCTATGACCAAGTCTTGTCAACAAAGTCTAATTTGAACCCACTGAAACAAAGGAAGATAAAAACAGTCCTAAGTTTCATTATTAGTTGCAGTAGGTCTTTCAACATTTGACTGCCAGGTAGCAAGAAAGCAGGCAGTTGACCTTTTGTGAATTATTTTGACTGAGGTTTGATATCACACTGTGTGACGAGATCTGATCTAAATGTATTAATATACTAAATGTAAATAATGTACACTTATGGATTTATTTATAGAACAGTTTAGTACAATTTCTGAACACAGTACAACAAGGCATATTTTAATATCCTGCTCTAATTCTACCTACAGTTATTGAACATCTGTTGACATACAACATATTACTGGGAAAGGCCAAAAGTTATTTTGGTTGTGGCCAGGGCATGCGTTTTAGACTCGGCATCAGATTCATAATCATCAGCTCATTTTTTTGCCAGTTTGCACATAATGATGTTTCCAAAGAACTGAGGAGTGGCATAGATAAAACCAAGCCCCCTCCTCCCCACATCCTCGTTGTCTATCCCTTCTGTGGTTCAGAAAAACAGAGCTGATGTCAACAGGATTGCAATGGGTAGAAGGTCATGGGTTGTTGTTCTGCTAGACTATATCCTATCTGTTGATGGTGTTAAAATCTGTTGAATGTTAATTGGGGGTATTTGTTACCACATCCTGTAAAACAGTGTGTCTCTGTCAAAACCACACAAGCTAAATGTTTGTTCATGTTCGCTAATCTCCCATCTGAAAAGCTCAATGTGATAGTCATCAACATCTTCCCTCTTTTGTTAACACCCTGTAGTGTTATAGCGTCTCTGCAAAGTGAGATCACAGTCATAAACTGCAACACATTTTTATCTTACCTAGATATCGCTTACCATTAGAATGCATTGACCTGTCTTACCAAGACCAATGATCTTAGTGCACTGGCAGATAATTTTGCTTACTTTAACCTAAAAAAGGCTCGAAACAAGTCAGAATATCTTAAAACAATACAAATTATCTGGATGCATTTTCTGGGTAAGCTAAATCAACTCAAAACAAGTAAATGCATTTTCTTGGTGAGCGGGATCAACTCAAAACAAGTAATTATTTTACTATACAAAAAAACCTAGGTAACATTAACATTGTTTGCAGTATACGGAGAGTGTTTGTTCAACACAAACACTTATGCACATATAGCATACAGTATAAAGGCCATCTAAACACCTATTAGCTGGTAATGACAGTGTTCACTCTGAGCTGATTAGTAATTATAAAGCCATACCATTAATCATGTGTCAACATGACATTAGGAAAATGACATGACTTTGACTTAAAGTGACAAGTCAAGTAATGTAAGGACCTCAATTACCTATTGGCTGGTCTGCCACCTGTGGCTTCTGGGTTTCCAATCTGATATTTTCTATGACATGAATAATAGTATTTCATTAAGAAGGTAATAATAACTTAGAGAAAGAGTTTCCTCTACATGTTAGGGTCCATTTAACAAATTAAATTCAGCGACTTGGAACAGAATGACAGTAAGAACTATGATTTGATTTTATTCTCCCACACAGCAGTTATTGCTGTTTCATAGAGTTTAGAGGCTGTGTGGCACTCTGTAGTCATGTGACAGGCACGAGAGGAAACAGGCGTCACCCTGTGTGGGAGATTGACAGAAAGAGAGATGTACAGAGGAGAGAGGGACTTGTTACAGTAGAGTAACGTCAGTAAAGTGATCAAAGGTGTAGATCAGGACAGAGACAGACAGGCTTTATGAGAGCAGAGAGATCAAGTCAGATTTAGAGTTTGGGGTACAGAGACGAGGCATAGGGCCAGATTAAACAGTACAGTTATAACACATTGAGACGCGGAGACAGAATGGAACAATACTAGAGGCCATTTTGGGGTTCAGGGATAAGGGTATAGGGCGCAGGGGGAAAGTTTAGGGTTTGGTTTTTCTTTTGGTGGGGGGGGACAGGTGGAACGAGCAGCAGTGTGTTGAGGAGTACAGCATTGCTGTCAGGAGCCATTGAACGAACAATCACAGAGATGGGGAACACATGGATTATAGGAGTCATCTCTCTCCTGGCTGTTTCTGCTACCTGGAGCTTTGAAACCGGTTTGAACATCTCAGTACTTCATTTTGTTTATCCGTCTGGTTTTGGTTTCTGTTGACTACCGCGTTAAGGGACAATTATTCATAAAACATTCAAAGCATTACTATAGCTATCCAATGATATGATGAAATATCATACAGTCAAAATCTGTATTTAATGACTGAATAATATTGATAAAAACAATGCTCTGACCCCTGCTTTAAATTGTAGACTGTGTGGGCTGATTGTAGAAGTCCCTAGGCCTGTAGATTACAGTGACATGTGTATCGAGATTTCTGTTCTGATTATTATTTTGTGGTCAAACAAAAAACCAAGTCAGTGGAACAGATTTGGATGATTATACAAAATTCAAATGGAACTTTTTTAAAAAAAGTACCATTTGATTCTACCAAGGGAAGGAAAATGCAGAGTGCCACATAGTAAAGACTAGAGTGTGTGGGTGGTGGCGTGCTTTATAGTGGAACGAACATGTTTTCTCCTGTATTTGAGAGGAGATTGAGACAATGATACAGCTTTTCTCCATGATGGGGGGACTCTGAGGAGGAAGTGATATTACTAGTCAGGCAGTGTATGGGGGTTGTGTGGCTTTCTGTAACCACCATAGTGGTTACACCTGTCAAAAGTAAACATCGACAATAATAAAAGAGCAGTCTGTGACCCAGAAAACACCCCACTTCAGAAAGTTCAGTAACCTAACAGTCAACCTCCCATGATATCATGTCTTATGTATGACACTGGTGGTTGTTTTAAGAGTGGAAAGTATGGTTACAAGCGTACTTATACATATTGGAAGCTAGATACTGTATGTAATATTTTATTTCCTCACAAAAACAAAAAGCTAAAATACTTTTACTAACAAACTAATGAACTTTTCAATAATGGCCAAAATACTATCACTGGACATTTTTGTAAAGTCAATGATTAAGTCAACCTACTTCCCCTACTCAACACTTTTTCTGATGCTGAGCCTTAAAATCAACTGTTTTGATTCACCCTTCTATCAGTCCCATGCTTCAATGTTTGCTGGATTGTTGATTGTTCTTACACTTGATGAAATCACTAACTGTGTATGCTAATGACTGCCCAACATTTTGCTGACATGCTATACCACTAACACGCACTTTGATTCGTCTCTCAGGACATAACAACCACATTTCTGTGATCTCTCACACTACCCCTCCCTCCACTTCAACTACATCTACAGAACTTCGAATTCATGGTAAAAATCATTATGTTTAACCAAACCTTCACTGGTGCCACTCTACTAGCCTACACTGGCATGGGGTCACATTCATGTTCAGAGAGGAATGGAGCTTTTTCTTTAGGAGAGGAAAAAGAGGAAATGATGTATTAGTTTCCTGTTTCTGAGACGAGGCCGGTTAGTCTGCATGACTCTCAGAGATAAGTCTTTAGATCCGGCATAGCCCAATCAAGCTTCTCAATATACTGTAGGCCAGTCTTGTACATTTTTACAGTGGTAAAAAATATATTATTTTCAGATACCATAGAATTAATTTGCATTTATGCATTTAGTCAACTTTTTATTGATTTTGTCTTCAATTCAAAATCTTTTCACATAATTTCCCCAGTTGCCAGAAGTGAACATTTTCATCTAGGCCATGAGGTCATCTTAACGTGCAGCAATAAGACTTGGAGTGAAATGATCTACACCATCTGGAAAATAAACCGGGCTGGAACAGAGTGTCTAATATCATCGGGTGTTAATGACCAACCTTTTGACTCATGCAATGATGGAAAAGTCATGCTAAACACAACCAGTGGTGAATCTTACCTAAAAATTCCTGAGTTCTCAATCAGTGATGAGGGAATCTACCACTGTGAGTCAGTATACAGTGGAGGAAGCAACTCTGCAAACATTGATGTATCAGTTATAGGTAAGAAACTGTTAGCAAAATCAAACGTTTTTTATTTGCATTGATCTGTAGCCTACATTTTAGAATGATGTGTTGTATGTCATATTTTTATTCCAAGTTAGTGTAGCTTGTGTTGTGTAAATTGGTGTAGGCCTATACAGTAGGGCTGATTCTTCCTGCCCACCTTCCCCATGTGTGAACAGTAGCCCCTCCCACGGTGTCTGCCTGGCTTGAGTGGGAGGGCAGTAAGAGGGTGGCTGTGTGTTTGGCTAAAGGGGGGAAACCAGCTGCCTCCATCTCCTGGAGGAGTACATGGAACTCTACTTCAACTACCCCACAGAACAAAGATGACTCCTTCAGAGTGGAGAGTCGGATGGTCCTGCCAGAGGTCATCACTACGGACAACCTGACCTGTGATGTCAGACATCCCTCCTGGGTAGAGATGCATAACGTGACACTACAGATCACCGAAGGTAGAGACAGCTATTGTGAACATTTTTGGGGTATATAAATGCCTATTTAAAATGCAGGTTGGGCGGAAGGATACTGTATGACTAATACATCACTCTTTTAGAATAGGAGTGAACATCATAGCTTTTTTAGTCAGAAATATCAGATTATTATTTTGAGGCATTATTGACATTTACATTTACATCATTTAGCAGACACTCTTATCCAGAGCGACTTACAAATAATGAGGTATGGGAGTTGGGAGGGATAAATAATCACAAATCTCAAACGTCTATTACAGGACATAGTTGCATTGGCATATTATTTCAAATGAATTCATTGTGAATTTCATTGTGAATATGACATAGAAGTTAAATCTAGATGATTATCAGATTGAATGTAATTGAAATACGATGGGCTGATAATAGGTTTCTTATGACTATCATTATTGATCATTTTATCTTCCTTTCAGGGGACTTCATACACTTGCAACAAGTCATCATCTCTATGGTAACCATCAGTGTCATTATGGCTACTCTGGCTGGTTTATACTTCACACGAAAACACCTCTGCAGAATTTGGTATGAATAGGAATTATTCTGTTTTTTTGACATCATTATTTTTTTTTTCAATATCATTGCTTGTGTAATAAAGAGCTTTATCTGTGTATTCACAGCCCCGCCAGACCATCTGAGTCCAAGCCTTCTCAGGTATGTATAGTATGCACCATATCCTGCATTGTGTTACCTGTCATAGTGCTGTAAGTCCTGTACGTTTTGCATAGCTAGCAGTTTACTGAAACTAGTGATGATTCTCTGTGTTTCTCTCTGTCACAGGACTATGTGGAGGAAGTAGAGCCCTATGCCAGCTACGTGCAGCGTGTCAACTCCATCTACAACTCCTCTGCAGACCTGTTCACATAACACGCACACACGCATACACACACCCACACACACACACACACACACACACACACACACACACACACACACACACACACACACACACACACACACACAGGGAGAGAGAGAAAGAGTGAGATACACACACCTCTGTACGCCACTCTGTACAAACTTGGAGGTTGATGAAACTGAGAAAAGCCACAATGAGCCAGTAAATGAAACAGGTAGATAACGGAGGACATGACGCAGAGCTTCAGGTAGGAGAGGAAAACCTCACAGATCACGCCTGCCTGTGGAGGCTGATGGAAAAGGGATTCCACCCAGCAGACGTCTGGCAGCACTGCAGACACAGCCCCCACTCTCCCTGCATCTCGGCCGAACCACAGGCCTCTGTCTCAATGATGACCTGGAGAACTTGCCTCACAACTCCTAAACTTCCCTTACAGATATCTATACAATAATGACATCCTGGAGACGTGAGAAAATGGCCAAAGATTAGACAGTTCTACAGACATTTCTACAACCAAAGAGACAAATGGGTAGATCAGAGATGATCTTTCCAGTTTCCTAATTTGCACACTGAGAACTATGACTGTGTGTAGTCTGTATACCACAACTGCATACCGCAGCTCTCATAACACACACGTTTTGACTGTTCCCACACACCTGTGTCATCTGCAACTCGTGGCAAGAGTGCAATTTTGAGATGTTTCATCAAAATCTCAATTTATGTTACACTGATGTATGATTACAATGTTTTTGTTGAGTTCATATTTATGATTAAGTTTATTATATTTCTTTATAATAAAAACAGATTATTTACATTTGAAACTTACATCCTGAGCTGATGGGAAAAGGATGTGAAGCACACACCTCATTCTCCTTGGTTTCATTCAGGAGAGAAGATGTTGAATCTGAGAACTAAGTTTACAACTAAACTTTTTAATTGAGTCAATTGCTTTCAATTTGGAAAATGTGTATGCTTGTTTGCAGAGTGCAAATTATACTGTGACATTCGGGGGAGCCTCTATTAAACATTTTTCTGGGCCTAATAGTAAAGACATGTCATTTAACGGTGTGTGGCATGAACACAACCAGTCATGATGTTTTCATCTGCTTGTCAAACAAATCACTTCCAAAAGTAGGCTACCTGCGGCTGCTCACATTCATCCCCCAAAATTCCAGCATCCAAACAGTGCACTGTGCTCGCGCCATTTGATTAATGGAAAGAGACATCTGTGGCGCTGGTGGTAGCGCTATAGTTCCAGGGATATGTCAGAAATATTCTTTGCTATTTTCACAGCCAGTATTATGAGCGCAATAGCTGGAGGTGGTGCAAAAGGGCTGGATTTTGATGAATAAACAAGTTGTGGGTGTGATCAACATGTTCCATGGCTTAATACTGCATGCGTTTGTCTCAAGTTTTGTAGATTATTGACGGTCTTCGCATTGTCATCATCGCCCATTAAGCTGGGGGCACGGAATATTTTTGTCCTGGTCCACTGCGGATTGATACTACAGTTTATTAAATAGCATAGGCTACAATAACAAGTAATAGCAACAATAAATAAAAACATCCAGTACTCAATAGCCTATGTTTGGAGTGTTGGTAGTCAACATTGTTGTAATTGGCTTCAATGAGCCTAACCTACATGTCTTTACGCATCATACTTCACCTAAAATAAAAAACTCTAAACTCCTGTAAATGTTGTATTGTATGTGTGAGGTATGTTCTCAATAAGCAAAATATAGCCTAGGCCTACTGTTGATACTGAATTATAGGACTGAATAATTTAAATAAGTTTGGAGGAGCACGTGTTTGGTAACCGAATAAGAGGTGCTCTTTGGAGAAGGGCACGGATACTTGAACAAGCTAAATGAAGTGTCACGTCTCCTCCCGTTGCTCCCCTCCAGCACTCTGATTCGCCGGACTACTGAGCCACCGGTCTGAGTGCACCACCTCGGCAACACCGGAATGGAAACCCATGCACCCTAATCACCTCCAGCGCACCTGGACCTCATCATCTCATCACCACCCCCTACATAGCCCAGGACTGTTCAGTGTTGTGTTGTGTGGGATTGTTAGTGTCATGTCGTGTACTGGCTCTTTGTTGTTCTCTTGCTCAGTGGTAAGTAAACCTTTACATTGTTGATTCCTGCATCTGCGTCCTACCTCTTCGTATTCGCAGTACTCGTCACAGAATCACACACCTCACAAAGATTAATACAACAGGGAGAGGAGGCCGCGTTCGAGTACGCCCTGAGCTTTTGTACGGTGGCTATGGAAGCCGCCCGGCCGCTGAGGCCTTACCCATGGAGGTGGGCAGCACCCCCTACACCACCATGGACCACATATCTCCTGGCGGTTCCATATCTAGGCGGTACGACTCCCGTCGCCGCTCCGTGAGTGTTCCGTCATCACCTGTCACCAAACTATTGTTTTTAGTTCCCCTAACGGTGAATGGTTCTTCCTACTCTTCGCTTTCCACGGCAATGATAGACTCCGGATCAGCGGGGAACCTTATCGATAGGGAGCTGGTCTCTGAATGGGGGTTGCCCACCGTGCCACTGCCTTCTCTGTTACATGTCACCTTGCGGGACAATAAACCACTTGGCTCAGGCACCATTACGCACGTCACTCTCCCCATCACCATCACATCACATTCCCACACTACCGGAGCACCACGAGGAGCTGTCCTTCCACATCGTTACATCACCCCTTCTCCGGATCGTCTTGGGATTGCCCTGGCTCAGACTACCTGGACCCTGACGCTCCGATAAAAATCAGAGTACGAGAAGAGTACCTGACTGATATAGGTAAGCTGTAACTCAACATACTAACGTTACAGTGATGGTTTTATTTTAATTTAACCAGGCAAGTCAATTAAGAACAAATTCTTATTTACAATGAAGGCCTGGCAAGAGGCAAAAGTCCTCCTGTGGGGACGGGGTTTACGATAAAAAACGAATCAATATAAGACAAAATGGACAACAGAGAGAAAACACTGGCAACAACATACAGTGGGGAAAAAAAGTATTTAGTCAGCCACCAATTGTGCAAGTTCTCCCACTTAAAAAGATGAGAGAGGCCTGTAATTTTCATCATAGGTACACGTCAACCATGACAGACAAATTGAGAGAAAAAAATCCAGAAAATCACATTGTAGGATTTTTTATGAATTTATTTGCAAATTATGGTGGAAAATAAGTATTTGGTCACCTACAAACAAGCAAGATTTCTGGCTCTCACAGACCTGTAACTTCTTCTTTAAGAGGCTCCTCTGTCCTCCACTCGTTACCTGTATTAATGGCACCTGTTTGAACTTGTTATCAGTATAAAAGACACCTGTCCACAACCTCAAACAGTCACACTCCAAACTCCACTATGGCCAAGACCAAAGAGCTGTCAAAGGACACCAGAAACAAAATTGTAGACCTGCACCAGGCTGGGAAGACTGAATCTGCAATAGGTAAGCAGCTTGGTTTGAAGAAATCAACTGTGGGAGCAATTATTAGGAAATGGAAGACATACAAAACAACTGATAATCTCCCTCGATCTGGGGCTCCACGCAAGATCTCACCCCGTGGGGTCAAAATGATCACAAGAACGGTGAGCAAAAATCCCAGAACCACACGGGGGGACCTAGTGAATGACCTGCAGAGAGCTGGGACCAAAGTAACAAAGCCTACCATCAGTAACACACTACGCCGCCAGGGACTCAAATCCTGCAGTGCCAGACGTGTCCCAATGCTTAAGCCAGTACATGTCCAGGCCCGTCTGAAGTTTGCTAGAGTGCATTTGGATGATCCAGAAGAGGATTGGGAGAATGTCATATGGTCAGATGAAACCAAAATAGAACTTTTTGGTAAAAACTCAACTTGTCGTGTTTGGAGGACAAAGAATGCTGAGTTGCATCCAAAGAACACCATACCTACTGTGAAGCATGGGGGTGGAAACATCATGCTTTGGGGCTGTTTTTCTGCAAATGGACCAGGACGACTGATCCGTGTAAAGGAAAGAATGAATGGTGCATGTTTTGTGAGATTTTGAGTGAAAACCTCCTTCCATCAGCAAGGGCATTGAAGATTAAACGTGGCTGGGTCTTTCAGCATGACAATGATCCCAAACACACCGCCCGGGCAACGAAGGAGTGGTTTCGTAAGAAGCATTTCAAGGTCCTGGAGTGGCCTAGCCAGTCTCCAGATCTCAATCCCATAGAAAATCTTTGGAGGGAGTTGAAAGTCCGTGTTGCCCAGTGACAGCCCCAAAACATCACTGCTCTAGAGGAGATCTGCATGGAGGAATGGGCCAAAATACCAGCAACAGTGTGTGAAAACCTTGTGAAGACTTACAGAAAACGTTTGACCTGTGTCATTGCCAACAAAGGGTATATAACAAAGTTGAGAAACTTTTGTTATTGACCAAATACTTATTTTCCACCATAATTTGCAAATAAATTCATTAAAAATCCTACAATGTGATTTTCTGGATTTTTTTTCCTCATTTTGTCTGTCATAGTTGACGTGTACCTATGATGGAAATTACAGGCCTCTCTCATCTTTTTAAGTGGGAGAACTTGCACAATTGGTGGCTGACTAAATACATTTTTTCCCCACTGTAAATACAACGGCAAACAAACAGTGTGTGTGTGTGTGTGGTGTGAAGTAAAACAACATGCTTACAGAAGGCAAAGCAAACTAGTGACATTGGTTGGCAACTAGAAACAAATACATGTCTCCACAACCTGTTAATCTATTTGCCCTTTAACCTCCTCCAGGGACACCAGGCCCTGGAGTGATAGGTTGGCTTGGAGGGAATTCCAAGGCCAGGGGTCTGAGGAATGAAAGGACCTTTTTCCATGCTCGGTTCAAATTTTCAGGACTGTTAGCATAAAACAAAATTGAGATCTGAGTTTGTATGTGTTTTAATTTCGAGCTGGAAGAGAGGATTGATAAAATGGCAGTTTTCCAAAAATGGCCAGTGTTTGAGCCTGCGTGTTGCTAGTTTGAGCACTGTAGAG